TAAAATCAGAAATGAAAGAGGAGAGTTAACAAATAACACCAAAGAAATACAGAGGATCATAAGAAAATATCACAAACAACTATATGCCAACAAATTGGACAACCTGAAAGAAATAGATAAATTCCAAGAAACATACAACTTTCCAAAACTAAATCAGAAAGAATCAGAGAATCTGAATAGACAGATACAACTAGTGAAATTGAAGCAGTAATAAAAAACAAACAAACAAACAAACAAAAACTCCCAACCAACAAAAGCCCTGAGCCAGATGGCTTTATGGGTAAATTTTACCAAACATTCAAAGAAGAACTAACACCTATCCTTCTCAAACTATTCAAGAGGAGGGAAGACTCCCAATCTCATTTCACTAGGCCAGCATTATCCTAATTTCAAAACCAGAGAAATACACAACAAAGAAAGAAAAGTATAGGGCAATATCCCTAATGAACATAGATGCTAAAATCTTCAACAAAGTATTAGCAAACCAGATCCAGCATTAAAATACATTAAAATATCATACATTATGATCAAGTGGAATTTATTCTGGGGATGCAAGTTGGTACAGTATTTGCAAATCAATAATGTGATACATCACATAAACACAATGAAGGATAAAAATCACATGATTATATCAATAGATGCAGAAAAAGCATTTGATAAAACCCAGCACTCATCTATTAAAAAAACAAAACAAAAAAACCTATCAGCAAAGTAGGAATAGAGGGACCATACCTCAACAGAATAAAGGCCATATATGAAAAACCTACAGCCAACATCATACTCAACAGGTAAAAACTAAAAGTATTTCCCTTAAGATCAGGAATAAGCCAGGGATGTCTGCTTTCACCATTGTTACTCAACACAGTACTAGAATTTCTAGCCATGTGATTAGACAAGAAGAATGAAAGGCAACCAAATGGAAAGGAGGAAGTAAAACTGTCATTATTTGCAGATGACACAATATTGTCTATAAAGAACTCCACTAAAAATCCATTAGATCTAATAAATGAATTCGGCAAAGTAACAGAATACAAAATCAATATCCAGAAATTGATGGCATTTCTATACATTAATAATGAACTATCAGAAAGAGAAACTAAGAAAACAATCCCATTTACTATCGCAACAAAAAAATAAGGTACCTAGAAATAAATTCAACCAAGAAGGTAAAAGGCCTATATTAGGAAAACTACAGTACATTGTTGAAAGGAATTGGTTAAGATACAAATAAGTGGAAACATATACTCTGTTCATGGATTGGAAAAATTGACATAATTAAAATGTTCATACTGTCTAAAGCAATCTATAGCTTCAACGCAATTCCTATTAAAATACCATTAACAGCCCTGGCTGGTCTGGCTCAGAGGTTGGAGCATCAGCCTGCAGACCAGAGAGTCCTGGGTTTGGTTCCTGCTAAGGGCACATGCCTGGGTTTCAGTTTGTCCCCGGCCCTGGATGGGGTTGTGTGGGTGGCAACCAGTTGATGTGTCTCTCTCACGTCGACGTTTCTCTCTCTCTTTTCCTCCTTCTCTCTCTCCCGCTCTAGCTGAAGATAAATAAATAAACAAATAAAATAAAATACCAATGACATATTTCACAGTTGTACAACAAGTATTCCAAAAATTTATATGGAACCAAAAAAGACCCTGAATAGCCACAGAAATCTTGAAAAAGAAGAACAAAGTTGGAGGGATCACAATATCAGATATCAAATTATACAAGGCAACAGTAATCAAAACAACATGGTACTGGCATAAAAACAAGCATACAGATCAATAGAACAGATCAGAGATCCCAGAAATCAACCCACGCCCCTATGGTCAATTAACATTTGGCAAAGGAGGCAAGAGCATACAATGGAGTAAAGACAGACTATTCAATAAATGGTGTTGGGAGAACTGAACAAGTACATGCAAAGACATGAAATTAGAACACCAACTTACACCACACACAGGATAAACTAAAAATGGACAAAAGACTTAAATGTAAGTCACGAAACCATAAAAATCCTAGAAGACATAGGCAGTAAAATCTCAGGCATCTCTTGTAGCAATATTTTTGCCAATATTATCTCCTTGGGCAAGGGGAACATAGGAAAAAATGGGACCACAGCAAATTAAAAAGCTTCTGCACAGCAAAAGAAACCATCAACAAAATAAAAAGAGAACCCACTGCATAGGAGAGCATATTCACCAATGATACATCTGATAATGAATTAATTTCCAAAATATATAAAGAACTGATACAACTCAACACCAGGAAGACAAACAATCCAATTAAAAAGGGGTAAGGACCTGAATAGGCACTTCTCCAAAGAGGACATATAAATGACCAATAGACATATAAAAACAATGCTCAAAGTCATTAGTCATCAGAGAGATGCAAATCAAAACCACAATGACATATCACCTCACACATGCCAGAATGGCTGCCATCAATAAATCAACAAACCACAAGTGCTGATGAGGATGTGGAGAAAAGGAGCCCTAGTTTCTTGTTGATGGGAATGCAGACTGGTGCAATCACAATGGAAAACAGTTTTGAATTTCCTCAAAAAACTAAAAAATGGAATTGCCTTTTTATCCAGCAATCTCATTTCTGGGAATATATCCTAAGAATCCCAAAACACCAATCAGAAAGAACACATGGACCCTAAGTTCACAGCAGCATTATTTACAGTAACCAACATCTGGAAAGAGCCCAAGTGCCCATCAGTAGCTGAGTGGATTAAAAACCTGTAGTTTATTTACACAATGCAATAACACATAGTTATAAAAAGGAAGGAACTCTTACCTTTAGTGACCGCATGGATGGACCTGGATATTATAATGCTGAGTGAAATAAGCCAATCAGAGAAAGACAAATACCATATGATCTCACTTATATGTAAAATCTAATGAACAAAATAAACTGACAAAATAGAACCAGAGAAATGGATACATGGAACAGAGTCACAGAAGTAAGAGGAGAGGGAGGTGGGCAGACAGGTTGAAAGAAGGTGAAGAGTATAGCCAAATAACATAGATACATAGCCCATGGGCACAGAGAACAATGTGGTGAGGGCCAGGGGAAGCGGAGGGCAGGGTCTGGGTGGAGAAGGGCAAAAGAGGAGAAAATGGAGGACATCTGTAATCATGTCAACAATAAAAATAAAATACAATTAAAAAAATTTTGATGTTTCCAAAATCTCAGGGAAATTAAATAGAACTTTATACCTGCTACATTGTTACAGATTATACATACTGTTAATTTTCACTGCATGGAGAGTGTCAGGAAAGGACATTATGCTACACTGCTATTTGCATATAAATCCTATGACATTTTGGCATATAAACCTGCATTATTTATGAAAATAAAAATGTGCTTACCCTTTTATCCATCAACCCCACTTTAAGGAGTTTATATTATAGAAATAAAAGCATGAATGTATAACTGTTCAAGGATGTTTATTAGAACATTATTCGTAAGAGCAAAATACTAGAAATAACCTAAATGTCTATCAAGTGGAAATGGCTGAATTAATAATGTTAGATTCATATTATAAAATATAATGCAACCATTAAACGAATGAGTTTGAGCTATATGAACTATCCCAGAAAGTGGTCTATAATAAAGCAACTGGTATAATATGGTCTCATTTTTGTAAAAATTTTTAACAGAGGGAGACGTCATATCTGTTAATGCACTGGTATACATATTTATGTAAACATGAAGGTGTTGAAGGAAACACACTAAACTATTAATATTACCTCACGAAGTGGGCATAAAGGCACAGGAAACCTATGTAATGTGATATTATGACTTGTATTACTTTTGTAATTTAAAATCATTTTAAAAAGAGATTTCAAAAAGTTAATTACAAATTATACTGTCTCCAAATGACTGTCAGTTGAACTAAATTGGCGCCCTACTGCTTATTCCAGTAATCACAGCTCAGACTACAATGCTATCTCCAAGGTACTAGAAAATCAATGAGGAGAGTTTTAAGGAAGAGAGAATAAAGAAATATATTTAAAATATGTACAGAAAAAATCAAATAGCCTGCATTGAAATCTGAGTGGCTTTGCCATTAGTTAAAAGCTAAGTAACCTGGACAAACTATGATCTCCATCACTCAGTTTCCTTTGAGTAAAAAGGAGAAAATAAGATCAGTCTCATGGGAGTGCTGTTAAGATTAAATAATAATGCATATAGGCACTTCCTAAGTGACTACCTAGCCATACTTATTAATTTTAGTGCTTATCATTACTGGCATAGAAAGAGAGTAAATACCTATAAAATGATTCTTTGGAGCATTACAGAGGAGTTAGATTGCAAAACATTTTATACACACACACACATATTTGTATATATACACACATGTATATATATGATAGAAACATGACATAGATTCCAGGTCCCAGAATGTACAAGGAGCTATTAAGACAAAGTGGTAAAAGAAAAAATCATACAGATTGAGAGTTTTAAAATGTAGAAATTTGAACATCTATTCAGGTAAACAATAATATAAATACATAACCAATTGTTTATTAGTATCTTATAATAAGGTATTTGATTAACTCAATAAAGCCTGGAAATCATTTATACATCTAAGATATATATGATCAAAAAGACTTAGGCAGTTTGAAATAAAGCAGCAAAAACTACCCTTACTCTTTTTAAATACTAACATGAAAATACCCAAGAAATTAATACAGGTTTTAAATAAATGAATAAACAAATATACATACATATACATAAACATATACGCAAAAATACTACATAAGTCCCAAATCAAGTAATTCCTACCATCCCTATTTGAAAATGCAATTTACAATTAAGGGGGGAACGATGTTTACCTTTTTTGCATAGGACTCAAATATTTAGCATGTTTCTTTACCATATGGATTTAACAAAAGACAAGAGACAGACATAGAAAGATATTAAAATAGAGGATTAATGTTGATAAAACCATTTTACTTGGCAGAAATTCAACTGTCAACATTAAAAATTGTTCTTACTTGTTGGAAAGCTGTCCTCACATTCTGACTGACATATACCATCTGAACACTGATTGGCTGTCAAACTTGCACATTCTAAAACCCTATAATTGGAAGAATATAAATTGAAATTACATAAAACAAAGTTAGTATGGTCAGTTTAGCTAGAAACCAAGAACTTACTAAAATTGTATAAAAAAGTCTTTGTGTGTATATGTATTCCTCATTAGGAGGTCTATATATCTGGGTTTCCAGGGGCCCCCCAAATTTAAAAAAAACTGAGTCTAGAAAGATATGAGTGTTAACAATGAATGACGGAATACTGTGAACAAAAAAAGTTGTTAATCTAATGGATAACATTTTCAATCAGAACAAACTCATTTTCGATTCAAGAAGTAAAATATTATGCTGTTATGTATTACATGATGAGGACATAGTGAAACTCGTATATTATTAAAATAGCTAATTTATTTTAAAGTCATTGGTTTCAATATACTAAAATTTAGAAAATACCTACATCATTTCAACATACTGAGTGGGGTATTTTCTATATATCTTTGAACACATGCTGAAGATTTATTTTTATTTCTCTAGAATACTGGTCAAAAACTTTCTGTACACAGAGACTACTAGAAATACATCAGGAAAAAAAACTTGATGTACATAGTAGGGTTTAAGGTGCTATTCACTTTCTGGAAACATCTAAAAGTTTTAAAAATATGATCTCCTAAAACACTTGTGTTACCTATTTTATCAGCAACAGGCACTTTAGAAAGGCCAATACTTTTTTCATGGCCGGATCAAGTATATCTGAAATGCTAAATATGTATCAAGTTTTTCAAATGTATCTAAGCTCCAGTTTCCACTCTTTGTTGCTGTCCTTGAAAATGTGGCAAATGGTAGAAGAGCAGAAGTGCAAGAGCAGGTATAGTCCGGTAAGGGGAAACCTTAGACTATATCCCGAGTTCTGCTACTATTTAGTTATTAGAACCTACAATCACTTGATTTGTTTCATTTGGTTCATCTCATTAAAGAAAATAGATAATACCACAGAAGGCTATGAGGATCAATGACAAGGAACCTATTAGATTCCCCTTTACCATCCCAGAACAGTGTTATCTTGAAAATCAGCTTAATTAATTTCTTATTTACAATTTTTAAATAGGTATATAATAAGCGTACTTTTTCAGTTGATCCACATCAGAGTTGCTTTCTGGCAAGACTCTGATGCCCCGACCATAACTGGTACCTCCATGGAGATGAAACTCTAGAGCTAACAACGTTGCCTGGTTCTCCGAATTCACAGATTGAAGTTTGGTATGGAGGCTGTAAATTCTAAGAAAGCTTCCAACCTAAAAAGAGATTATTAATTTTTTTTTAGAAAATGAAGAAAAATCAAACACTTTCTAGTACTGAACTATTTAACAACCATATGGAGCATAGACCAACAACCAGGGGCGCTGACCAATCAGAAAAGATACTGGTATGTTGGTGGGGTGTGTACTGAATATCAGCCCCAGTGACACTATATCAAAACCAAAAGACATTTCCACTTCAGAGATATTAAAGTAAGATATAAAACTGAGTCTTAGCATTGATAAGTTATATGAGTTAAGAAAATCATGACCTAAATCAAGTCCAGCCCCCCTATTTGATTAATAAACCTACTGGATTAAGGTTTCTGAAAATAACTTGTGTTAACTACTTTAATGTAAGATTTAATTTAAAATGATCACTAAAACACTCTCATTACAAGAATATTAGAAAATAATTTAAAATCTGCTACTATATCAAAACAATACATTTTCTATTCCACAAGTTCTATGAAAACTTGGTAATAAACAATTTGTGTCTGTACATCACAATGTAAAACATTCCGTGATTTCAAATATAGGATTAAACCAATTATAGATTGGAACTAAATGTTCTATAGTTATTTCTATAATTAATTTTTGCTAAACTTAATCTTAAAAATACCTTTAATTATATATAGAGTCTTTGATATGCTTTCAATGTAGAAGGCTTAAAATGGACAGATGGAGATTGTTTTTCAAAGAAATTGACACCTACTCAAAAGAAGAACCTGTAGCCCAGACGGTGTAGCTCAGTGAATTGAGCATCGTACCACTGACTATAAAGTCCCGGTTTGATTCCTAGTCAGGGCAAATGCCAGGGTTGTGGGCTCGAACCCCAGCAGTAGGTGTGTAGGAGGCAGCCAATCAATGTTTCTCTCTAACATTGATGTTTCTATCTCTCTCTCCTATCCTCTCTCTCTAAAAAAGAAGAACCTATATAACCTAAATCACATTTATTTTTACGAAGAGTTATGAACAAAAGGAGTTACCAAATAGGAAATTTAATTTATTTGCATAAGATAGCACTCTTGACTGCTGATGACTGTGGGAATACAATTCTCTTTTTCCCTTCAAGGTCAAATTGAATCACAATGGTAAAATGCTATGCAACAGCAAAGCTATACAAGGGGAAATATTAAAAAGATGAGGCCCTGGCCGGGTGGTTCAGTTGACTGGAGCACCATCCCATACACCAAAAGGCTGCGGGTTTGAGTCTCGGTCAAGGCACATACTTAGGTTGCAGGTTCAATCTCTCTCTCCCTTCCCCACTCTTTAACAATCAATAATAAACAAATAAATAAATACATAAGATAAAATAGTAAACCAACCTCCCACCTCTGCGTATTGCTGTTCAGTTAATTGTATTTCTGCTCACCTCCCTCTGGATTTGATGGAGGGAAGAAATGGGAGAAAAAAGTAAAGGGAAATAATTCACATTCCCAGATGCTACACTTTCACAAGGGCTTTCTGGGAAAAGATTTTGTGGGGGGGAAGTAAGGTGGTTAATTTTTTCTTCTCTGATTTCTTCCACTAATATTTACATCATGGTAGGGGAGCAGGGTAGTCAGAGAAGGAAAACACAAAGAGAAAAAAGTGATTTGCCTCATGTATCCAAAGTAAGATACTGAAAGAAAATATAAAACGGTTTACTTATATTTACTTTTATCAGACTTTTCTGAATATTTATTATAATTGGTGATTCTTTTTAAATATACATAATGCATCAGTACAGTACATGTTAGTTCCACAAAGGACTTAAAGAAGGCCAATCATGAGGAGGAAGATACCATATTCCTAAATAAAAAGCTTCAACATTACAAAGATAATTTCCCCTTAATCAACCTTTAAAAATCAATGAAATTTCTATGAAAATCCCCAAAGTCTTTTATGAAATTTGAAAAGCTGTTCAGAAAATGTATATAAAAGTGAACAGATAAGTCAATTGTTTAGACTAAACTGGGAGCAGGGTCCTGACTTAGGGAATATCATTTTAAAATAAAGGTCAATAAGCAAACGACATATTTCACAGATCTAGAACAATACTCCAAAATTTATATGGAACCAAAAAAGAGCCTTATCAGCTGCAGCAACATTAAGAAAGAAGTAGGAGAGATCACAATACCGAGTATCAAATTATACTACAAACCCCCTGTAATCAAACTAGCCTGGTACAGGCATACCAATCAATGGAACAGAATAGAGAAACCAGAAATGGGTCCAAGCCATTATGCTCAATTAATATTTGACAAAGGTGGCAAGAGCATACAATGGAGTAAAGACAGTCTCTTCAATAAATGGTGCTGGAAAAATTGGACAGGTACATGCAAAAAAATAAAACTAGAACACCAACTTACACTATACACAAGAATAAACTCAAAATGAATAAAAAAAAACCTTAAATGTAAGTCATGAAACCATAAAAATCCTAGGTGAAATCATAGGCAGCAAAATCTCAGACATCTCATGTAACAGAATTTTCACTGATACATTGCCTAGGGCAAGAGAAACAAAGAAAAAAATAAAGAAATGGGACTACAACAAAATCAAAAGCTTCTGCACAGCAAAGAGACCATCAACAAAATGAAAAGGGATCCCACTGTAGGGGAAAAAATATTTGCCAAAGATACCTCTGATAAGGGGTTAATTCCAAAATATATATATAAAAAAACACATACAATTTAACAAAAGGAAGACAAAAAATACAATTAAAAAATGGGCAAAAATACTTAAATAGACACTTCTCTCAAGAGGTCATACAGATGGCCAAGAGACATAAGAAAAAATGCTCAAAGTCAGTAATCATCAGAGAGATGCAAATTAAAACACCTCACACCTGCCATAATGGCTACTATCAACAAATCAACAAACAACAAGTGTTGGGTAGGATTTGAAGAAAAGAAAGCCCTAGTACACTGCTGGTGGGAATGCAGACTGGTGTAGCCACTATGAAAAACAGTATGGAGTTTCCTCAAAAAATTAAAAATAGAACTGCCATTTGACCTAGTGATCCCACTTCTAAAAATATATCCTAAGAAGCCTGAAACACCAATCAGAAAGAATATGTGCACCCCTATGTTCATAGCAGCACTATTTACAATAGCTAAGACCTGGAAATAGCCCAAGAGTCCATCAGTAGATGAATGGATAAAAAAGCTGTGGTGTATTTAGACAATAGAATACTATGCAGCTATAAAAAGGAAGGATCTCTTATACTTTGAGAGAGCATGAAGGGAACTGGAGAGTATTATGCTAAGCAAAATAAGCCAGCCAGAGAAAGACAAGTATTACATGATATCTCACTTATATGTGGAATCTAATGAACAAAACAGATCCAGAGACATGGAAGCAGGGAACAGACTGAGGAATCTCAGAGGGAAGGGGGTAGGGAGGGGTGGGAAGAGATTAACCAAAGAACTTATATGCACATATTCATAACCCATGGACACAGACAACAGTGCAGTGAAGGCCTGGGGGTGGGAGGGTCAATGGAGGAAAAGAGGGGGACATCTGTAATACTTTCAACAGTAAAGAAATGTAGAAAACAATAAAATAAAATAGAATAAAGGTATAATAATTAAGACAGTTTAGTACTCATACAGACATATGTATGAACATAGATAAATCCTAAAAATATAATGTCAAAGAAAAAAGCAAATTACAAAATGATACATATAATACATATCTGTCAGACAAAAGTACATAAAAGTATAGTAAATATGGGTATACATGTAGAAAGAGTAAACTGGGGAGCAAAAACTGAGAATTAGCAAAGGTACAAAGAAGGGTTAGTATGTAAAGTTTTATTTCTTAAAAATGAAAAGTACCTTAAATAAGTGTGGCAAAACATTTAGAAATATTATTTGTTGGCAAGCACATTGCTTACTATACTATCTTCTCTACTATTTTATTTCAAAATAAAATAAAATTTAAAGACCAAGAATTCTTTTATATAAATATATAAAGATGACAAATTGTTATTTCCAGAAATCCCTTCTGGAAGCAGCACTGCATTTTTTATTTATTTATTTGCTAAATATGCTAGGAAATATGCCAGATGCCTATTATAATAGGCAAATATTGCTTAGCCCTGTCGGCAATGTGATAAAATTCCAGAAATACAAGTGAAGAAGTCATAACTAAATTATAAAAAGTATTTTAAAAAATAGCCCTGGCCGGTTTGGCTCAGCGGTTAGAGCATTGGCCTGCGGTCCTGAGAGACCTGGGTTCGGTTCCTGTTAAGGGCATGTACCTCGGTTGCAGTTCGTCCCTGGCTCTGGTCAGTCGTGCGGGTGGCAGCCACTCGATGTGTTCCTTCACGTCGATGTTTCTCTCTCTTTCTGTTCCTCTCTCCCCCTCCTACTCTACCTGAACAAAGAATGGAAAAATGTCCTCTGGTGAGGATAAAAAAAACAACAACAACAAAAAAATTGTTACAAAAGCCCATTTCAATGCAGAAATGTTAAAAATAAAGCAAAACAAATATGGGTACTAAGAAATCACTAGCCCTTTAGAAATAATTTAAAGATTCCATATAAACTCTCATGAATTTCACTTTAGATTTAATATTTTTAAAGACCTGTATATGTCTAAAAATAACCAGTCAAATTATAGCTTTTGGGTCACTGAAGGCCAAACATAATTATTACTACATGTTTTATAATTACGTTTAAATTGTGTCAGGATAAGCTTGGGGATGAAAATACACTGCTTTAACTTCTATACAAAAGGTTTAAAATGTCAGTTTGTGACTGGGCCTGTGTGGCTCAGTGGACTGAGTGTTGTCCCATGGACTGAGAGTCCTGGTCAGGACACATGCCTGGATGGCAGGCTTGATCCCCAGTAGGGGGTGTGAAGGAGGCAGCAGATCCATGCTTCTCTCTCTCCCTTAAAAAAAAAAAAATCAATAAAACCGTATTTAAAAAAATAAAATAAAATGTCAATTTGTGTGTGTGTGTTTGTAAAATGTTTAGGAAATGAGATAACTTAAAAGCAAGATTTAGGAAAAAATTTATGGGCAACTTAGGCTGTAAAATGTGTTACATTATAGAAGTCAATTATATTTACTTTATAGTTGCCTTAACTGTCCTCTTTATTTGAAAAAACACATTTTTTTTCTCTGTTTCTATATAGTAAAAATGTGTTACGTGTATTCTGGTATAGAAATGAAATTTTAAACAGTTGTCTTCAAATACTGATAAGAATTCATTTGTATCAATGTCATCTGCTTCTGGGTATTCTTACATTAATATGTAATACAGGTTGTCTCAGAAAAAAATAAAATGTGATGTCAATGTACATTAGTAAAAGCCTACAGTTACATTACTTATACATAGGGATTATCCTTTTCATTTTTCTATTACATTGCAGATAAATATGTTCTATCTTCAGGAAAAACTTAGCCCTCTATATTTTAATTGTGTGCTCACAGCACCCTCTTGTGGGTCAGATGAAGCTGACAAAAAGGGAGATGAAAAAAATGCACAGTACTCCTTGATACACTAATTTACCAGCAGGTTATCATTTACTTCATCCTCGCTGCATGGAAAACCCAGTGCTGGGTGCTGCTCAGGACTTGGATAAGGAAATCAGGACAAGTGAGGGGAACAGAAAGACGTATAGAATCAGCACAGGGGAAAATAAGGACATTAAATGGTGAAAATAGACCTAAAATGTAAATCTTTTTTCACTTATATAAGAAATTTATCTATATTTTTAAAAAGAGTTTAGACTAGCTTTAACATTATATTTTTTAAAAAATAAATCAATGTAGATAAAATTATGGAAAAGCATCAAAGACATATCAGTAAATTTTTTCTAATATGTCAGAACATATGCACATACACACATATGAAGTTATAAGAAAGTGCAAATGTCACCATCCTGGACCCTGACTTTAAACTAATTTACTGATTTAGGTTAAGAGGGCTTTATTTGTAACACAATGTGCAAGTGGAACTATTTCCTCCTCTAAGTACATATATTTACAAAGGAAAACTGGGCAATAAAATTCAATTCTAAAAAATTACAATTCACTTTTAGTTTTCTTCCTAAAAGTAGGTTTTATTAGTTCCTATAAGTTGGCTATGTATGTAATTCCCTACAGGTAGACTGGCAGTTATTTACAATAAAGAAAACAATTTTTTTATATGGGTTAATAGGATTGGCTTTGGAAACAGACATTGTAGATTCAAATACTGGCTTCACCCAAGAAGCTGTGAATTCTTGGGCTTAACCTCTGAGTGTCTCAGTTTTCTCATTTTAAAATGGGAACGATGATAGTACCTACTGCACAGGATAACACTAAATACAGATGAAGTGCTTAACAAATGTTACTGTTACTATTATTATTAATGATGCTATTCTTTCCTAGAAAGAATACTTGCAAATAAGACATAATAAAGAACAATATTCCTTAAAATGTTATTACTAAGCAAAAATTACCACATCTAAACAATGTACTTTTACCTAAAACTATATCCCCCAAACAGTGAGCAAATTCTATTAGACTGTACAGCACACACACACACACTCACATAAACACACAATTTATGATGGTAGAGGTGGATTAATAATTTCTTAAACTAGTAAGTACAAAAACTAGATTTTATCAAACCAAAAATTAACAAAGCTTAATGTTTACATTTAAAAATATTTTATAAATCTTTTGTCATTTTAAAGCAGTACATCTTACACAAAATTTTTCTTTACTATTTTCATAATAATATTGAGTACAGATTTAAGATATTTAGGAAATGTTCTTTACTTTTAAAAAGTTGCTCAAGCCATTATATTTCAGTATACTAATAATTTATTATGAACATAAATTTTACAAATTAAAAATTTTTTAAAATTTCTAAACCTCAAATACCATCTATAAATGTGATTTACCCCCAAATTTATAAAAATAAAAAACAGCTTGCTATTTGACATCACCTTCAGAGATTTGGCCACCTGAACATGGTTATCATAGACTAGAATGTCTACTGCCAGGTTCTGCAGCCGATGGATGTGACTTAAATCACCATGAAAAACAAGGTCTTGTACTAAGACTCTCCAAGATGGATACGGGGTCCTGGTGCCATCCCACACCTGTAAGAAGGTAGAGCAAAATTTAATGATCTTTCTGTAAAACTGTAAAGGCTAAAAGAGTTTTATTTGCTGGCATTATAACCTAAAAATAATCACATGTATCCTCCCAAATATCTGCTATGCTTTAAATATGATGTATATCCCTTTTTTTAATTTTTATTTTTGTAATTGGACTACATTTAAACAGGTAATATGGAAAATGTAAAGAAAAAAGTTCAAACTACTAAGACCGTAGAAAAAATATTAACACATTGTTGAACTTACTTTATCTTTTTTTCCTGTGTATTTATGCTTTTATTATTATTATTTTTAAATGAACTGGCATTATATTCTGCTTTTTGTTTCTTAGTATATTGTTGAGCAATTTATCAGAAAATTTAAAAATTCTTCTAAAATACAATTTTCAATGGCTTCACATTATTTTATGGTATGGATGCATTTATTCAACCAATAATACCTTTATTGGTCATTTGGATTGTTTCAAACCTTTCATACTATTTTAAATAATTTAGCAATTATCATTTTGTATATAAACTTTCATGAGTATCTCTGCTAATATTCTTAAGTATAAATTCCTAGCTTTTAGGAATGTTTGTTCAGTTTGCTCTGATCTGGAAAGGCCTTTAAAAGTACAGATATGACTACTTTGCTTATGTTAGATGTTATGAATACAAATGAATTAACATCACGGGTGCTAGAAAAGGAACAGGCATGTTGGATTGCTGTGTAAGGTGCATTCAGATAAAGATGGGAACGTAGGCCAGGGCGAGTGTGTACCACCCCATCCACAAGACAGGAGGTTGCCTGTGCTGTGCTGTAAAAGGTATGACAAAAGACATCTGGTGTGAGGTGGGAATGCCTCTGCATGTCAGAAGTTTGACTGGAAAGTAAACAGGCTATTTGAATAAAAAACACTACACAGCTATAGAGCAGATGTCTGCCAGTGTCAGAGTACAGAGGAAGTACTAAATAATGTTGGTGACTGTGCTAAGTTTCAAATATACAATTATGAGTTTGTGTCACTCATTCTGTTCCCCAAATAATTCAAAGAACCAGGACAATCACTTTGGGAGCAGTAATATGTGCCATAAAAATTTTTCTCCACTTGGAATTTGTTCTTTCATTTGGTGTAGACTGTTTTAGAGATTTTAAAATGGCTTTACAAACCAATTCACAAGTCTTTTGAGGGAGGGAATGAGAGAGTACAGTGTTGCTATATATTATTTTTATGCTCCAGTTTTAATTGCCTAGAAATCAGACTTCTAACAATCTTTCTTTACCAATTTGAAATGGTATTTAATGTTACTTTTATCATGTATTGAGTTATTATAGGTATAATACCGTTCCTGAGGTTCCTAATCTTTTCCATTGATCCATCCATCTTACACAATATGTTTTATTATCTGATATGGAGCTCCCACTTAGTTTTCTCCAGTAAAAATTTCTTGTTTTATTCCTGCTCATTTAATGTCTTTAATAAACTTCAGAATTATAATCAGTTTAAAAAAAACAATGTGATGTTAATTAAAATTGCATTTTATTTAAAAACACTTTAGAAAAATAAAACAAAACTCTTTTAATAGTTCAAGTTTTCTTTAAAGCTCCTCAGTAAAGTTTTCTTCATAGAAGTTCAGATACTTCTTGCATGAACTTTATTATTTTTTAGTCACTGAGACTTTGAAAGATCATTTTGGTCAATTATCTTTTCTATTTATTACTAATATGTAAAAGAACTATATTTTACTAATGTTTTAAACCAGTTATGTCACTGAATAATTTTATTTCTCTAAATAGGTTTTTAGTTTATTGTTAGGGTTTATACCTTGTGAGTACTAACTTTTTCCTTTCTTTAAAATAGTTTAATCTCTCATTTCATTTTTTTATCTTAGTGGATTTCCCAAGACTTCTCGAACAACATTCTGTAACAGAGAAATAGTGGGTATTCTGTCCTGCTCCTGGTGCTGACTCTAGAATTACAACACTAAATATTGTCTATTTACCTTATGACAAATTATTTACCAAGTCAATTCTATTTTGCTCAACATTTTTATAAATATTTTTAACATTCTCTAAAATAATAATATAATTTTTAACATTCATAGAGATGACTATAGTTTTCCTGAAATTAAACCATTTCTGATTTGTAAAAATAAACATTTTGGTTTCTATATTTATAAATAAAACTAGCATGTGTGTCCTTGTTTTATGTGATATATTGGTGCATTTTTGGTCTAATTCAGTTTGAAGGACTTCACTACCTGGGTTCATAATAATTTTAGTAATTAATTCAACAATTTAAATATTTTTAATTAGATTAAAATGTTTAAAATGAAAACTATAATTTAATCTAAGTTCATATTTACCAACATAAAAATATAACATTTTATGATGTTTAAACTTCCTCATATATGTACATATATCTTTTGTATCATTCCTAATTTAGAAAATTTTTTCATATTTTAAAAAATCAAAATAACCTCTCTTTGTCTTTTAAAATTAGTTATCAATATTATCTTTTATTGTTAATCCTCAACTGAGAAAGTTTGTTCCATTGATTTTTAGAAAGTGTAAGGGAAGAAGAAAGGGAGAGACAGAGAGAGAGAGAGAAACATTGATGTGACAGAGACATATCTATAGGTTGCCTCCCACATGCTCTTTATTTATAAAGATATTTAAAGCTCTAAATTTTGACTTTTAGTATACCTCTAGCTATAGCATTTAATCTATTGTTATTAACATTATATTCTTAATAACCTAAAATTAAAATTCATTTCTCTTTGAAGCAATAGTATGTGGGGTAATATTGCTTTTTAACATCTACGTTTTAGGACTGTAACATGTTTCAAACGTTACCTTTACTGATTCTAGTCAAAAGAATATATTCTTTAATATCTCTTTGGAGGGATAAATATTTGCAGTAATTTTGCTATGGTAAAATTATTACCTTAAGAGTCAATCAAACTGTTTTAGTTGTTCAAATATAGCCCTAGCTGGTTTGGCTCAGTGGTTAGAGCGAAGGCTCTTGTTGTTAAAATACAAATATCCCACAGTGATTTTTTATTATATTTGAGTTTGAAAAGAAATATATAATTACCAATAAAATAATTTTCTAATTTTAAGTCATTTTATTTCATAATGTGTTATAATAATGACAATAAGGATCTAATCAGCTAATTTTTAAAAATTACTTAAACTGATTTTAACTCCTGAGTCAAATATATATTTAAAAAAACAAATGGGTCTTGACTAAAACTCCAATGTATTAACATAAATTACATAGTAAAATTATGGCTGCTTTAAAAAAATTATAATGGCTTGGCCAGTGTGGCTCAGCAGATTGAGCATTGTTTTATGGACTGAGAGGTCCTGATTAGATTCCTACTCAGGGCACATGTCTGGGTTGTGGGCTGGATCCCCAGTATGGGGCATGCAGGAGGCAGCCAATGGATGTTTCTCTCTTACATCAATGTTTCTATCTTTCTCTCCCTTCCTCTCTCTCTAAAAAAAATCAATAAAAACATATTAAAAATAAAGAAATAAAATGTATTTTTCCACATTTTAAATTACTACTGTAAAATAAATTTATGAAAATAGAATTGTTGAGTCAGAGTATACAAGGCTTTTGAGATTTATTTCAAATTGTCCTTGAGAAAGTCTTATTAATGTAATTTCTTACATTCACTTCTGAGTGCTATATAAAAAGTAAAAATAAAATAACATCTATATGAAAGCTGTTTTCACTCATCTGAAAAGGCTATCTATAAAAATGGATTGCAGACATATGTTTTGTTGCTTTAGAAAGAAAATGTAGATTCAGCCAGGTCAGCTAAAAGGTGACAGATTTTATCTTAGAATTTGAGAATTTTGTAAAACACAGTAGTCAAAAGATAGTCTATCTTCTCTGCACAGTAGATTCCTTGTTACTGGAAATATTCAGTGATTAGCAAATGCTCATTTGTTAAGGATGTCTTTTTGGGTAGAAATTATGACTAGCTGACTTAAATTTCTTTTCTAATTTTGGTAGGATGCATTTGTAGCTTTAGCTTCAGTTTTGATATTTTATTTACTTAACTTTCTTTATAGCATGGATTTACATTTTCAGAGTATTCAGTGCATATATAAACATGTGTTATTATCAACTTCAAAACTTCACATTTTACGCAAATATTTTTATCTTCACCATTCTGTAATATAGGCAAGGTATAAATGATGATAATGCTAAACCCCAACATCTGTCCAAGCACCAGTACACTCCATTTCCTGTCCTACTCTCCCAAAGAGTCTGAAGCTAAAGAAAAACCACAGAAGCAAGGCAGAGCAGTGTTTGTTTAAATGCATCCTGCCTGGGATAGGTAGGTGTGGATAATATCGGACAACTGTCTTCTTCAAAGCTATTCATAATTAAACAGGTAGACTTATAAACAAAGATTAGATGGTCTCTTGTCACTTTTTTAATTCTGTTGATTTAAAAACAAAATATAACAAGAGCAATAAACACTTTAGAACTCTCTGTGATCTACCCATGAAGTAGGTAGAGGAATGACATGAGAAGAGAACCCAAAGGGCCAAGGAGGTAAGTGAGAAGAAAGGCCACCTTGACAGGGAAGCAGAAATATCCACATGTAGAACTGCAACTAAAAAACAGTAATATTTGTAGTGCTAAAATAAGAAATATTTTATTAGTACTACAATAAAAACATTTTATTAGTACAAAAATATAAATACATATTAGTACTAAAAAATAAATATAACACAAACTATACTACATTTAAAGTAGAGATCTGATAATATTATTTTTCTCTAGAAATATGGGATAAAGAAGAGAAATTCAAGAGTCGCATGGAGAGCCAGGCTTATCAAAAATGCTGAGTTAGATTTTAAGTTCTTAATATAACATGCAGTATGCATATTTACTTCATCAGAATGCTAAAATATAAGCTCTTTATAGATATGTAGGTGGTGCTAATAACTGCAAGTATTTAAAAAATATCTACCTTTAGAAGAAATGATGCTCCATCTACTTCGGCTTTGCCCAAGAGCTGACAAGTCAGGTCAAAATACTGCATTGGCTGAACATCACACAATTTTACTAATGTCGAAGAAGGTGAAATATGAGTAGATGCCCAAGCACGTAAGGTTTCTACCATTTTGTGGTCCTCAGTTGTAAAGTTAAAATATTTGCTTGAAGTACGAGGTATAATAGGAGCTCCCAAAGTTCCCTCAAATGTCAAAGATGCAAAACCAGAGCTGGTGATACCTTGAGTTTCGTTTTTATATACTTGGATCTAAGAAAGTGGGACAAAGTAGAAAACAAAACAGAAACACATAAAACTGCTTACTGATGCAGAACCTGGAAACTGAAAAACTTGAGAGATTATAAAATCTTGCCAGAATAGTTAATAAATTAAGATGTTTATTCTTTAATATTTCATTTAATTAGCATAAAAATTATAAAGTCAACTGGGCTCTATCAAGATCTGCATGACGTAAACTGTACAACACTACGCAAAATCTGTAGTTCTATTTTTTAAAGAACAAGGTGTAAGACTCTCTAATCCTATCAAGCTTGTGCTTTTACATTTATTAGTTTAAGACAGAATTTACAGAAGAAAAAACAAGTGACAGTCACTTATGAACGTAACAGAGAAAACTATAACACCTAAAATATAAGAGTTTGAAGTCAATCAAATGCAGCTGAGGCTAAGGTTCCATCAGTCTAAGAGAGCTGATAGGCCATTTTAGCTTTCTAAATTTTAAAGCTGTTATTAGATGCACATAAATTTATGAAGGCTACATACTTACAGAGCTACCCTTTTTTGACCTTGTGAAATGCTTTCTCCTGATCTTTTGTAAATTCTATCTAATATTAATATAGTTACATTATTTTCCTAATGTTTACCGTTTGCTTGCTATATCTTTTCTACAGCTTTACATCCAAATTGTTTGTGTCTTCATATCTCGTGGAGACATATTTGGTTCTTGCTTTTTATCAATTTTTTTTCTTGCAAAAGGAGTGTTTAGTCCATTATGTGTAAATGTAATCATTGATATGGTTATATTCAAGTCTACTATCTTGTTTCCCTTTAATAACGTTTTGTTTTTCTATTGTTCCTTTCCTGTCTTATTTAGAGCATATTAGTGTTCCACTGACTTCTTAGCTATGAATGAATCCTTAACATCTCAGTCGCATACTCTCTCAGCAAACAAAAGCCCAGGCCTGAATGGCATCACGGGGGAGTTTTACCAAACCTTCAAAGCAAAACTAATACCCACTCTCCTCAAACTATTCCCCAAAATTCAAGAATAAGAAAGATTTCCAAACTCGTTTTATGAGGCCAGCATAATTCTAATTCCAAACCAGAAAAAGACACTACAAAGAAAGAAAACTACAGGCCAATATTCCTGATGAACATAGACGCCAAAATACTTAACAAATACTAGCAAATCGGATCCAGCAATACATCAAAAAAATTATTCACCATGACCAAGTAGGATTCATCCCAGGGATGCAAGCCTGCTACAATATTCGCAAATAAATAAATAAATGTGATACACCACATAAACAAAATGAATGATAAACCACATGATCATATCAATAGATGCTGAAAAAGCATTCAACCAAATCCATCATCCATTTCTGATAAAAACGCTCAGCGATGTGGAAATAGAAAAATCATATCTCGACATAATAAAGGCTATGGCCTTTATATGAAAGACCTACAGCCAACATCATACTCAATGGGCAAAAACTAAAAGCATTTCCCTTAAGAACAGGAACAAGACAGGGATGCCTGCTTTCACCACACTTATTTAACATAGTACTGGAAGTCTTAGCCACAGCAATGAGACATGAAGAAAAATAAAAAGGAACCAAATTGGAAAAGAGGAAGTAAAACTATCATTATTCACAGATGACATGATATTAAACATAGAAAACCCTAAAGACTCCATCAAAAATCTACTAGACTTAATGAATTTGGCAAAGTAGCAGGATACAAAATTAACATCAAGAAAGTGACGGCATTCTTATACACTAATGATGAACTCACAGAAAGAGAAACTAAAAAAAACAATCCCATTTACCATGGGGCAAAAAAATTAACATACCTAGGAATAAACTTAACCAACCAAAGAAGTAAAGGACCTATTTCCAGAAAACTACAGGACATTGAAAAAAGAAACAGAGGAAGATATAAAAAAGGGGAAGCACATACCTTGTTCATGGATTGGAAGAATTAACATCATTAAAATGTCCATATTACCCAAAGCAATCTATAAATTAAATGCAATCCCCATCAAAATACCAACGACATACTTCACAGAACTAGAACAAATACTTCAAAAGTTCATATGGAACCAAAAAAGACCCCGAATAGCCACAGCAATCTTGAAAAAAAAAAAAAAAAAGGACAAAGTAGGTGGGATCACAATACCAAATATCAGGTTATACTACAAAGCTACTGTAATCAAAACAGCCTGGTACTGGCACAAGAACAGGCATATAGACCAGTGGAACAGAACAGAGAACCCAGAAATTGACCAAAGACATTATGTTCAAATAATATTTGACAAACGTGGCAAGAACATACAATGGAGTAAAGACAGCCACTTTAATAAATGGTTTTGGGAAAACTGGACAGCTACATGCAAAAAAATGAAACTAGACCATCAACTTACACCATACACAAGAATAAACTCAAAATGGATAAAAGACTTAAATGTGACCAATGAATCCACAAAAATCCTAGAAGAAAATGTAGGTAACAAAATTTCGGACATCACATGCAGCAGAATTTTCAGGTGCATTACCTAAGGCAACAGAAACAAAGAAAAAAATGAACACATGGGACTACATCAAATTCAAAAGCTTCTGCACAGTAAAAGATACAACTATTAAAATGGAAAGAGAACCCACTCTGTGGGAAAGCATAATTGTCAATGATACATCAGATAAGAGGTTAATTTCCAAAATATATAGAGTGCTCATACAATTCAACAAAAGGAAGACAAAGAACCCAATTAAAAAATGGGCAGAGGACCTAAATAGACACCTCTCCAAAGAGAACATACAACTAGCCAAGAGGTATATGAAGAAATACTCAACATCACTAATCATCAGACAGTTGCAAATTAAAACAACAATGAGGTAACTCCTCACACCTGTCAGAATGGCCTCCATCAACAACTCATCAAACAACAAGTGTTGGTGAAGCTGTGGAGAAAAGGGGACTCTACTACAGTGCTGGTGGGAATGCAGATGGTGCAGCCACTATGGAAAACAATATGGTGTTACCTCAAAATATTAAAAATTGAACTGCCATTTGACCCAGTGATCCCACTTCTAGGAATATACCCAAAGAAGCTTGAAACACCAATCAGAAAGAATATATGTACCCCCATGTTTGTAGCAGCTCTATTTACAATAGCTAAGATCTGGAAACAGCTCAAGTGTCTATCAGTAGACAAATGGATAAAAAAGCTGTGGTACATATACACAATGGAGTACTACGCAGCTGTAAGAAAGAAAGATCTCTTATCCTTTGAGGTGACATGGAGAGACCTGGAGAGTATTATCCTAAGCGAAACAAGCCAAGCAGAGAAAGACAAATATCACATGATCTCACTTTTTTTGTGGAATATAATGAACATAACAGTCTGAGGAACAGGGTAGACCCAGAGACATGGAAGTAGGGTACAGACTGACAACCCTCAGAACAGGGGCTGGGGGTTAGGGAAGAGATAAACCACAGAACTTATATGTACATATGCATAACCACATAACTGATGGACATGGCCTTCTCCAACTAAAAAAAAAAAAAACTTTCAGGGCTACTTATAACTAGCTAAGCTATCACCACAGAGTGTAAGACACACCACTATAACTAAACAGGAACATTTAATAATAATAAATAAATAAATCTTATAGGAAGACATCTTAATTTAAATCTATATAGCAACCTCAAAATATAAAAAACATCAAATACAATTAAATAAATAAATCTAAATCCAAGTATAAATAGATAAATCCTCTACAACAGTGGAGTCTTTAAAAGATGCTTTTCAATAGCTCATAAAATAAGTATGCACAAAATCAGAAAGGATATAGGAGGCCTGAAGGCACAATTAAGAAACATGATCTAATTTATATTTATATAGCACAGCACCAAACAAGATTGACTTGAGTGTTCGTGGATCATTTACTAAAATTAATCATATGCTAGAACAGCAATTTTCAACTGCTGTGCTACAAGACCTTTAAAACATGCACTACCTGACTATTTAGTCAGAGGCATGGCCTCTTTTCCCTTAAACCGTCAAATAAAAAAAAAAAAAATGACAACAGCTAACACAATAACAGCCACCTAGTGTGAAGGAATCGAAATTATACCTATTTTTTTGTCATATCAGCAAAATATATATGTTTTGGTGTGCTGCAGAATGTTATGTGTGCCATGAGATAAAATATGTTGATAATCGCTGTTAAAATATAAACATCCACATATTTCCAAATATTAAACACTTTAAAATATATTTTTTTTATTTTTTATCCTCACCCGAGGACATATTTGCATTGTAAAATATATCCTCTGACCAAAAATAAAAAGCTAACTATAAAACCTAAATTATTAAAAATGCATTTTTAATAAAAATAATTTATAATAAATTATTTACTTAAAATATATTCATAAATGTAATTTTAGAATTATATTGATTTCAGAGAAGAAATCAAGTGGAAATTAGTAGATATACTGAATTGAAGGATAATGAAATTATCAAACATTAAAACTTATTGGGTAAAAACTAAAGTAATACATAGAGAAAAATTTATAGGCCTATTTTACAAACAAAGAGAGGTTGAAATTCAGAGATGCAGAGATTCAGACTCCCACCTCAAGAATCTATGCAAATATGATATCTGAAACCCAAGGAAAGTGGAAAAACATAATCAAGGAAAGAAAAATAAAAACACACAATAGAGAAAAACCAAAGTGAAAAGCTGGTTCTTTAAGAGATTAATAAAATTGATAAACCTAAGAAGACTAATCTGGAAAAAAAAACAAAAGAAACACAAATAATATAAAGACCAAAAAAAAAAAAAGATTATCATTACAAGTCCTAAAACATCTTAAAAATAAGCGATATTATGACCAACTTTATATCAACAGATTTGACAATCTGGAAAAACAGACAAACTTTTCTAAACATTACTTTTACCAAAGCCCTTGAAATTGGTTGATAAGAACCTATCAGTAAAAGAATGATCAGTCCCAGGTAGCATCACCAGTGCATTATTCCAAGCATTTAAGGAAGAAAAAAGAAAAGGAATCTTGCACAAACTCTTCTAGAAGTGAAAAGGTGGGCACCCTTCCTGTTTTCATGAGGCAGCATAGCTTTAATTAACAAGAAAATTTTAGGAAAAACAATTATAAATCTAAATAAAAAACAGAAAAACAATAAATGATTTAAAGGAAAACTCCAGAGCCATCTTCATAAGGTAGACAAAGATTTCTTCAACAGGACATGAAAAGTACTGACTATAAAAGAAAAGTTAATAAAGACTACAGTAAAATCAAGAACTTTTGTTCATCAAAAAACACCGTTAAGAGAGTAAATAGGCAATCCATAGTTTAGGTAAGGATACTCACAATCCATATGCTGACAAAAGATGTATAACCTAAATAATACAACAAAACTTCCACAAATCATTAAGAAAAAGAGATAAAATCCTTAAAAAAATGAGCAAACTACTCAAATAGACACTTTATACAGAAGATATTCCAATTTTAAAAGGTTCTCAATTTCATAAATTTCAGGGAAATTCAAGTTAAAACCATGATGAGATACTAACACACATTTAACAGAATAGCTATAATGGAAAGTCAAGTGTTGGTAAAAATGTAAACTACTGGAAATGTAAACTGGTAAAAAAATTTAGAAAAATTAAATGTGAACATAAGCATACCCTAAAACCCAGGACAGTACTGTTTGGTGTATAATCATCTAAAATGTATATGCATAAATTTATATAATTATAATTATATAAATATATACCTAAACATATAATTATAAGTAAATTTATATAGAGAATTTATATATATTTTTATATATTTATACAAATATATAAAAATTTATATATAAAGTCCTGGACAGTTTTGCTCAGCAGTTAGAGCATAGGCCTGCGGACCAGAGAGATCCGGGTTCGGTTCCTGCTAAGGGCATGTACCTCAGTTGCAATTTGTTCCTGGCCCCGGATGGGGTCGTGTGGGTGGCAACCAGTTGATGTGTCTCTCTCATGTCGATGTATCTCTCTCTCTTCCTCCCTCTCTCCCTCCCGCTCTATCTGAAGATAAATGCAAAAATGTCCTCAGGTGAGGATAAAAAAAAAATATTTATATATAAATAATGTATGCATTACAGATTGTTTTATATAGTTATACAATTATATACACTTATACATTTTTAAATAATTACAGTCAAATTCTTGAAAATGTTAGAGTAACATACATTCTTCCCCTCAAGCATGTATACAAAAAAACTTCTCTTTCTCCAATTTAACAGTTAAACCATAAATAAATCAGAAACTGATATAAATGCATATATAATTATTATAATGCATATTCACTAAAAAATATGTACTAAACTGTTTATAGCAGCATAATATCCTCAAACTGAAAACTACCTAAATTTCCAACAAAAAATACACAATTACTGATATAGTCACACAATGGAACAATGGAATACCATTTGGCAATGAATACAAAGTTAAACTATATGCAGTAATATGGTTGAATCAAACAAGCATAAGCCATACACGGGGGGAAAAAAGCAAAAACTAAAGTCTATTCTCTTTATATAAAGAACAAATACAGATGATACTAATACATGTTGTTAAAAGTTATGAGACTCTTGACTACTGAAGGTGGACAGAGTGTTAATGACAACCTTGGGTGGAAATATTGGAAGTTTCTAGAGTGCTAGTGATATGAATATGTTTATACTATGAATATGAACAGAGAAATATATATTCTACTTCAATTAAACAACAGAAGAATAACTAAAAATGTTAAAAGTGGAGGTCGCATTGTATGAACACAAATATCATGGGACCCAACAGTGTGTGAGAAACAAGCTACTTTGTGAAGTTTGAATAAAACCATAATATAGTGCTACAATATTTCTATTTTTATCTTCATGCACATATTCTCTACTGTTCATCTAGACTTAGAGAAAGGGTGCTGACAGGTGAAGAGAGATAATTCCCAGTACAGGTAAGAATAGAACAACTGGAATACTGTGCCCATTTACAGGTATCACGCTGACCTCGAGGGGCACAAACTGAAGTAGTTAGAAGAACAAGACAACAAAGATGACGAAGTGGTTGCACAGAAACCCATATAACAAAAGGGAAAAATGAGGGACTAAAATTCTTAAAACCTAAGGGACTAAAATATTAAAGTACTAAAAACCTGATTAAAAAAAAACAAACAGATATTATTTAATAGCTTTACTTTTATATCAAAGGTTTTTTTAAATATTTAATTATTGAACTGCTAGCAGAACTTTAAAAATATCTAAGTATCTGTTCATATTTTAACACATCTAATCAACTTATTTGGATTTTCTATTTAATATCTCAATGCTTTCATTGTACCTGAATTAATACAACAAACAAAAAAGAATATACCATCTCCCAATCTTTATTCACTTTTCTTGAGGTTGTCCTAAGACTTCTTTTTTACTGATATTGCTCAGAAGAGAGGGGTGGAGGGAAGGGATAAACCAAAGAACTTACATGCATGTATGCATAACCGATGGACACGGACAACAAAATTGGGGACGGGGTGGGAGGGGATTGAGAGGAGGGAGTCAATGGAGGTAAAAAAGGAGAAACATCTGTAACAAAATAAATTAATAAAAATAAATACACACAATAACTTAAAAAAAAAAAGTTCTGTATCCAATTTCACATGGAAAATATTTAAAACATCAACTATATTTAGTAGCGAGAAGACAGAGCAACCAGTCTGAGTCATGGCATCTAACACATTTCTGTGGAAGGAGGGCAGGCAGTTTGTTCAAAGAGGTTTCCTAACAAAAATTATATGAAGTCTGATACAACTTACATTTCTTCTTATCTCCTAAAATGTCATGTTCTAACAAAGCAACCACATAATTAGTGCTAACTAGTTTTAGTGAACAATACAGAGCTCTTCAAAAAAATTTAAGTTCTAGACAGTAAGAATTATACCTTCAGCCTGTGAAAGCGAACAATATCTCCATTTTTATAAATTATTGGGAGGCTTTCATAATTTCCACTAAAGAGTAGGCAGGTTAACTTGACACTTGTCTGGTCCACAATGGTAACAACCGAACAATAATCTGGAAAACACAAAAATATTTTACCTGACTTTTAGTATTGCAAAAGATTTGACAAAATAAGAATATGCTCAGTTCAAAATATCAAACAAACTTTATCCCTCCCTTTAATTAAGTTTTCTAAGAATAAGATAAAAACATAGACATTTTCTTTGCTCTCAAAATGCACTAGAAAAGTATTTAAAAATTTTTTTCTTTATTTATTGTAGAGAGAAAAGGAGAGGGATAGAGAGGTAGAAACATCGATGAGAGATAACATCAACTGGCCGCCTCCTGCACGCACCCCACTGGGGATCTGGCCCACAACCTGGGCATGTGCCCTGACCGGGAATGGAACCGGCGACCTCTTGGTGCATGGGTTGATGCTCAAACACTGAGCCACACTGGCTGGGCACTACTCATTTTTTGAAAATATGTTTTTACTGGTTTTAGAGAGAGAAAGGGAGAGGAAGAGAGAAATAAAAACACTGATGAGAGAGAAACATGGATCAGCTGTCTCCTGCACACCTCCCACTAGGGATGAAGCCTGCAACTTGGGCATGTGCCCTGACCAGGAATGAAACGACACTCAACCAACTGAGCCTCACCAGCTGGCACAAGTTACCCATTTTAACAAATACTAATACAGCAAACTATTAAAATAAATTTAACTTAACTACTCCAAGAAGTGAAGTGTTCTACCAAATACCTACATACATACACACATACATAAACAATCCTTCAATTACTACATAAAATGAAGATATTTTTCCCGTAACTCATTTTTTACTTATTCCCAAATGAGAAAAATAAAGTTGTGAAATTCGAGACAACTTACAATTTCATATTTTAATAATAAATTTAAAAAGCTAAGGCAAATTAGTAGTGTATTTCTTGACAACTAACATCAGCAGGGTAGGGAGTACAGTAGAAAACCCTTTGATAAAGCAGTACTCTTACTTCACCTAAAGAGCACATGATCTCTTAAAAATATATTCAAACTTTTAATAAAGTATTGATTTTAACTACTTTAATACATTAGTAAAACTTCATATTTAAACTGTTGACAAAGTATTTAAATACTTTAACACCTGTAATACTTCATGTAACTTGATATAAATACGGAATGATAACAAATGATAAATTAAGCCCTATGTTCTGCAATCTTGAGCAATTCACCTAATTTCCTCAGTATGATTAAGTGTAAATTGCCTTGAAGTTTTATTATAAGAAAAAGCTGGTAGTACATGTAAGTAAGGTCGTTAATCAAAGAATCATCCATGGATAAATTACATAATCTGCAAAAATAATACCTCCATGAAAGTGGCTTCACCTCCTCTTTATCTACTACAGCACTTTTTAAACTAATCAGCATTCCTGGTACTATTTCTCATTTGTATAAAAGTTTATTATTGGAACATCTAAGCAAAAGCTATGAAGGCAAACCACTGAATCAAGGCCATAGTATATGCTATAATCTTTGTTTTACAAGGGAACATTATACAATACACATATAACAGCACTCTCTTTATTAGGCTGGTGTGAGGTTACATAATTTCTCTTCATGTTTTTATTATATTGCAAAAGATCATGAGAAGAAAAAGAAGAAAGCATATTACTATGACATACACACACACACACACACACACACACACACATACACACATGTAGAGAGAGAGATTAAATAAATAGGTAGGCAAGTACACAAATAGGCGTTCTATGAGTTTGTAGTTCGTAACTGTTATTCTGGAATTACAAAGGCTAATAATGGTCTCTATCTTCACAAAGGTTGTATTTAAAATAAGGAAGACCAAACAAGAAGAATATTTTTAAAAATACCTATAAAAGTATATTGGTATTCAGTAATAAAAATTGATACCTGCTACAACATGGATGTACCTCAAAATCACATGCTAAGTGAAAACAGCCAGAAGCAAAGACCACACATTCTGGGGGTCTTTTACATGAAGTATCCAGAAAGATATAGAGACAGAAAGCAAATTAGTGGTTGCCCAGGACTGGGGATGGGAACGAGGATGGACCATAAACAGAAAAGAGACTTTGGGATGTGGTGTTGCTTGTTTATGCTTTCCCAATGCATAACAATAAAATTCACTGTTCTTGATTAAATCAGTTAGCATCAAGCATCCAAATCGTAGCACTGAAGTTTTATTGGTATACCTTGTTAGTTATCATCTCCTTGTCCACTCTATTTGACATTAAAATCGTACCTTTTTGTAAACTTTCATTTTAATTTTAACTTCCAACAGAGCAAATATAAACACAGGTACTCTACTGTCTGAATCCTTCTGAAATGTGATGAAACCCATAACCATGAACAAGATCAGAGCTCAGCAGACATGGCCTGTGGGCCAACTGCCTAGTGTATAAAGTTTTACTACAATATAGCATAACCTGTACCTCTTCTGATCCAAATGTGCACATTTATACAACAGAGAAGATACTGCATCACACTTAGGGCATCCTGAGCATAAACAACAATCCATATGAAAGGCATAACGGAATTTAGTAAATAGGAGGTAAAATATTATTTAGAGGTTCATACCCCTGAAGAATACAGCAATACAAATTACATAACAAAAGGTTGATAAACAACTTCAATTTAGTAGTATTTGATGTTTCTATACTCCTTTTATTCTTAATTTTATATTTTTAAAAATATCACTAGCTGGAGATGGGAGTGAAATTAGTCCCTCATAGATGAAGCCTTCTTCATGACTTTAGCAGTTCTCAACCTGTGGGTCGTGACCCCTTTGGGGGGGTCGAACGACCCTTTCACAGGGGTCACCTAAGACCATCGGAAAACACATATTTCCGAAGGTCTTAGGAACCGAGACACCGCTCCTCCATCCGTCCCCAGGCAGGTCCGCCCACATGCAGATATGCCACATACAACATGAGGAACTGTATTGAAGGGTTGCCACATTAGGAAGGTTGAGAACCACTTTAAAGACATTTGTGATTTAAAAGTGTCAACAGGTTAATAAATCACCCAGAGATCAAATCTACTGTGGAAAAAGGACAATTAATAACATTTTCATCAGAACTTCAATATCTTTTCATTTAATCAGTATTTATGTGCCTTCGGGACTTTAAAAAAATTTCCCAATAATTTCATACATATAAATAAAGCTATACAGTATCTTATTAGACAGGCAAATCCAATCATTTGCTAACTGCTGCTGACCTTACTTCCATATCTTATTTTACAATCATACCTTTTTCTTTCTTCTCAATGTCACAACCCAAGTTCATGTCCTTTTTTATCACAATCAGGTTATTGTAATAATTACTTAATAGCATTCCTACATCTCCGCCGCCTCCTACGTACAACACTGTCATACCACCACGTGGTTCTCCTTCAGTCTTGCACTCCTCCTGAAACACCTCCAGGTATTTCTACTGAAATACAGAATAACGCCCTAAGCATTTAGCCAGGGATGAGACTGGACACAATTTGACACTAATCTATCTCTCCAAATATATTCTCCACCATTATTCTTCAAGCTCTTCATATTTCAGACAAAATGAACTTCAAATTCCTTGTATAAATCCCACAGTGCCCTATGTATATGCTTTCTTCATACACTATGTTGCCTGAATTTATTCAAGTCAAACACTAGCTCTATTACCTTAGTGACCTTAAGCAAGCCTCTTAAATTCTGTCTTGGGTTTTTCAAATGTAAAACTGAAGATTAAATGAGATAATTTATAAAAAATACTCTTACAAGGGAAGTATAGTCACATGTAATCTTCAAGGGCTCACGTATTCAGAAAATCCCTTCTCTCCTATACCTTCTCAGATTCCCACAACTACAAGTAATCTTCCCCTTTTGGCCTCCCTGTTATACTTCATCTTCTCTCACAGCAACCCCACTTTCTACCTTGTATACCTTTTATTTTTAATACAACTTAAACGTAAAGAGTTTAAATGTATACCTACACACACCAGGCCCTTTCTCCCTTACATAGCTTCTAGATAATATTACATTTCAGTATGCCCTATTTCCTTGAATATGGTGTAAAAAAATGATACTTATACAAAGTTCAAACAACAGATTTACTTTGGTCCAGAGTTTATCACAAATTGAAGATAATTTTGTAAGGGTTAATGTGATTCAACCAGCAGAATGTTCATTTGTTTCCCAAGGAAGATGGAATGCATGAGCCTGAAACACCCACTCCCTTTCTAGAATCTTAGGAAGAAATAAAAAAGCAAAATTTCCATAAGTGCCCAGCCAGTATGGCTCAGCAGCTGAGCGTCGACCCATGCACCAAGAGGTTGCCGGTTCGATTCCTGGTCAGGACACATGCCCAGGTTGTGGGCCTAATCCCCAGTGGTGGGGCATGAAGGAGGCAGCCCATCGATGTCCTTTTTCATCAATGTTTCCATCTCTCTCTCCCTCTCCCTTCCTGTCTCTCTAATATATCAATAAAGAAAAAAATAAAACAAAAAAATTCCCGTAATTATTCAAATAACTAAAAATAGATAAAGATATGTGAATTAAATGTTAACATGTTTACATGTTAAATATTGAAAGCCTGGTATCTACTAAGGATTGTGCTAGATGCTATAGCAGGAAGAGAAGCTTCAGTCAAATAGGTAATTAAATCCTTGTGTGATCAGTGCAATAACGGATACTCTGAAAGCACAGAAGAGAGCATCTAACCCAGAGGCATGCTGGGATGGGGTGGGTCAATAACATGCTTTAGAGCAGGATTTCTCAACCTCAGCAGTACTGACATATTGAGCTGGATAATTCACTGTTTCAGGAAAGGGGTTTTCCTGTGCATCATAAACTATTAAACAACATATCTACACTAGATTGCAGTTGTGCCAATTACAATTTCTCCAGACATTGCCAAATATCTTCTGGGGGCAAAATCACCCAGGATTGAGAATCACTGCTTTAGAGAAATATCTATTCTGAGTTCTGAAGAATCACTATTTAGCCTGGTAAAGAAGAAGAAATAACATTCTAGGAAAAGAGAACACCAAGAAC